AGAGACGGGAACGTGGGATGGCGCTCTTGTTGCACCCGCGGGCGCTCTGGAAGTCGCCATGATCGCGACCAAAGCGCTCGACCGCGGTGATCCTAGTGGTGTATGCTTGGGTTTATGCGCACCCTTGTCACCTCTGATGTAGCAAAGCTCAAGTTTTTCTTTCCTGAAGCAGTCGCAGTCACAGGTGCGGATTGGTGATGGGTGGTAGACTTTGACCTACTTGCGACTTTGACTCGACTCTTCTGCCTCTCCACATGCACATCCGTGTTCGCCGATGGAGGCGTGGCATGCGCGCGTCGGAATCACGAAATGTCTTTGAATCGTTGACTCTTGACTAGTGTAGTACTAGTAGTACTCGTGACCCAAAGACTTTGATTCTGAAGCAGCAAATTGGGATTCGGATTGGGATTCGGATTGGGATTTTGGGTTCCGAATTTTGAATTTTGAATCGTGAATCGTGAATCGTTAATGTTGAATTGAATCACCAATGTGAATTTTGAATGTAATCTTGAGACTCAAATTGAAGGGAAAGACAAGTTTGAGTGCAATTCCGGTCACGTGGATGCGCGGATGTTGGTGCGCAGCGCCCTCGAAAGATCAGATCTTGAGCAAGAATCGCGCATACCGGTACGTGATTTGCCTGCTCGCACACAGCCACAGCCTTGAGGGTTTGCGCGCCAGGTACTCACACTGCCGTGGTCTTCACTCGTCAACCCACACCCACACCCACACCCACACGCCCACTCACTCTCACAATACCCAAGACATGCGCATTCACTTCGACCAGCCGGCCGGCCAGCTGGATCAAGATGATCGCACCCTCAAGCGACAGGTGTCCGCTCAGTCTGCGTCTGGTGGACATCGATGCCAGGAGCTGTGGAGCGCGAGACCTGGAGCAGTCGCTGGCCCGCGATCAGATTCCCTTCACCACGACGCATAGCCGAGGTATTTGGGAATGGCTAGACCTCCAACATCTTCGTGCTTCACTCACCGCCACCTCTGCAGATGGGCATGTAGATCACACAACTTCTGCCACACTGGCCGACAAGAGCTCCAACACCAGCTCCAGCTCTCTTTTGCTGCAGTCTTCAGCTAGCGTCGCAACAAAGACGTCCACAACAGCTCATCCTTCCCCTTTACCCTCTCTGCCTACCTCGTCTTCATGCTCCACCTCCTTCTCCGATTCTGTCTCTGCCTCTGCCGACGGCAGCGCCTCTGCTGGGCGGAAAAGACGAGGCAGTGATGCTCATTTGCTGGATGCGCAGTCTACTCCTCACAAGACGAGGTCATCTCCGGCATCGATGAGCAGCCAGTCTAATACGTATGTCGACAGCATCGGCGCCCAACTCATGGGCGACGTTCAAGGCAAACATTGCCCGCAATACCTCGTCGTCGAGCTTGCAGAGGGCGGACAGGCTTTGCTCAACGCTTGGCTGCAAGATGATGGACTGAAAGAAAAGCTCAATCATCTGAGACGCTTCTTGGTGAAGCGCAAGGGCAATGAGAACGATCTGCACCGGCTCATCACAGACTTCGTCAATCAGCTCGCAGACGTTTGCGCTCGCCCGCTTGATGCGGATGCCGAGGCCAAGGCCGAATGCGCCGGCTGGCCATCAGCTGCTCGAATGCTACTCTGCCAGCGTCGCGCAGTAGCGCAAGGAGACGCCAGCGTGGTGAGTGTCGCCTCCGTTTGCTACAGCGTAATGCTGCGCTGGCACATCCACGTCCATATCCACGCGCTCAAGCTCGAGCACTTGCTTTCATTTCCCGCCTGCCTGCGCGCAGACCCTTTGCGAGCAAAGTTTGACATCTGATGATGAGCGAGCGGAGAATTCGTTGCGACCCGACATTACCTTTGGCGATGCGGATGTGTCTGCGATTCACAAACCTCGTAGACGGTGGAGCGACATCACCGCAGTCATAGAGGTCAAGTTGCAGCGCAATAAAGATGGTCGAGCCCACATTATGCAGCAAATTCTTTGCTATTCGGTGAGTCACGCCGCACGGGCCGCCAAGCCTCGCTCGATGTTCACCCTTGTCCGCTAATCAAGCAACGCTCCTCTCTAGCGCAACCTCCTTTGCGACCATCCAGTGGCCCGGTGGGTTCATGGGGTGACGTGGTGTGGCGATCTAGTCAGGCTTTGGCAGGTTGAGGCGAATGGGTACGCCGTCAGTCGCGCCTACTCAATCCACAGCGAGGCAGACGTTGCAGAGATCGCAAAGATCATGCTACTGTGCATGCATCCCCATGTCCTGCCATCCTGGGATCCAAGGCGAACAGGCAGCATTCAGCGCAGTCCATCTGCATGCATTGGTCTACACCAAGACGAGGCAAAAAGGGCGAAAGTCTTCATCAGACCCGCACTCGTAGGTTCGCGCACCGTCTTGTTCTGCTTCGACCGCTCTGCTGTGGACGTCAAGAAGTCGAGCCTGGTCGACAACGAGCGCCAAGCGCTCTCTGCAAGCGGGAGCACTCTCTTTGTCAAGGCGACTTGGCGCACTACTCGCCTCTTTAGTCGCGAGACGAACATTCTGCAACGCATTCAGGCAGGGAAGCGCTTGCTGCGAGAGAGCCAAAATGGGATGTGGAAGGATATAGTTGCCCCACTCCCGTTTGGGATGGTGCAAGAGGCCGGATGGGAGACGCAGATTCGCCGCGGCACGACTCTGAGATTGGACATTTCAGCCTTCTGCCAACCATTTGGCCAGTCCATCTCTCCTTTGACCGCAGAGGTCGATTTAGCGCAAGTATTTGGCCAGTTTTGCAGGCAGCTTGCAGCGTATGCGGAAATCGGTGTGCATTACCGCGACCTCAACGCCGGTAATGTGCTCATGCTCCCTCACACACAACAAAGCTGCGCCCGCCTGGTGCTGGCGGACCATGGCAATGCTCGATTTGGGGCCAGTCGTCTAGCACTTACCTTGAGTCACTCGGAGGATGAAGAGGGCTGGCTGCAGATCGCCGACGACGACGCTCGCTCAGCAAACAGTCGCTTTCTCCCCGTCTCGGCGCACGATGGCGCGCGATACGTCGCAGAGCATAAGGACATGGTCGCCGAATATTCTGCGAGCGAAAAGTCCTTGATGGGCGCCTCGACTGACGAAGAGAGAGCTGACTTGGAGGCCGATCTTGAGGCAACTGGCAAGAAAATTGCGCTTCTTCGCAAGAGCGCATATCTCTGTCTTCACAGGTACACTGATGACTTGGAGTCTCTGCTGTATCTTCACTTGGACACGTTATCCTCTAAATGCCCAAAACCGGGTCTCAACCTAGCGAAGTCAGAATTGCCGACGCTCGCGGAGCGGATCCACAAGCATTTAGACAAGGCGACCAAAAAGACACACTGGGATCTCTCTTGGCGAAGTGTAAGTTGACTCGGTCCACGTGTCTCAAGGGGTGGAGAGTGACACTGAGCTTTTGTGCATGTCACATGCCTCCTTGTCCTGCAAGCTCACCAGGGACTTGCATTCGGCGTCAATCACAACAGCGGCATGGGCTGATACTATTTACAGGGTGCATGGCGCTATAAGGCGAGGCCAACGTGCCATGCAGACAATCTTGTCGGATCACTTCGACAAGGAGATTGCTCTGGTGCCGCACGGCTCCAAGCAGCCTAGGAGAGTCTCGCAGCTGCCGATCCAGGATGTCGAGCGCCACTGTTTCCGAGAAGTTGCTGGGCTTTTCGAAACGTTTTTGGAGGAGTATCACGGGAAAGTGAGTTACTTGTTCTCTGTGTCTGATTCAGGCCTCTCTTTGCTTGCCCGCCCTGTGCCATGATGACCGAGCCTTGCCCCCCGATGCGATGTCCCCAAATAGCATCTCGAGCGCTTCGGAGAGACTTGCGACTTCTAGCCCTTGGCCCTTGCCATGGACGCGCCCCCTCGCGTTTTCCTTTTGCCTTGGGTCGCGTTCCATCCCCCCCCCCTCTCCTTCCCCACCTCCCTTCTTCCCCCCCTTCCTACGCTTTGTCGTAGCATTTTCTACGAGTCCGTTCCCGCTTCATCATTCGTGACTCATGCGCTCGCACCACCAACACCGCTGCTGCTTTCGCACCACCACTATCACAACCTCGCCGCATTCGAGACCTACATCGTCACACTTCATCGAATATTGTACTCGTCGCATCGCTTCTCACTCCACTTCATCTAGCAAAAAAAAAAAAAAAAAAAAAAAA